TGACGATAACAAAATCCTACGTACGCACAATCTCGATAGAACTAAGTCAATAGACACGCGTGGAAACGCTTCCCGACCCCTTGATCCCATCGTCCGGTCAATCTGGGGACTCTTTGTTGCTTGCTGATTCGTTTATAAACCAAATCGACTTCCTCAGTCCTTAATTGACGCTCTTGGAGGATACCAAGAATAAGAAGAAGAAGAAGAAGAAGAAGAAGAAGAAGAAGAAGAAGAAGAAGAAAAAGGAAAACAAGTTATGGTGTTCTTTCTCAAATCTTCGTTTTTGACAATTTCTCTTCTCATTACATTTACTCAAGTGAAATTGACGATGGCTAGAAATTAAGTAAACCTGAAATTGCGAGATTTTAAAACTTGGACCAACTTATTATTATTATTATTATTATTATTATTATTATTATTATTATTATTATTATTATTATTATTATTATTATTATTATTATTATTATTATTATTATTATTATTATTATATTATTATTATTATTATTATTATTATTATTATTATTATTATTATTATTATTTTATTATTATTATTATTATTATTATTATTATTATTATTATTATTATTATTATTATTATTATTATTATTATTATTATTATTATTATTATTATTATTATTATTATTATTATTATTATTATTATTATTATTATATTATTATTATTATTATTATTATTATTATTATTATTATTATTATTATTATTATTATTATTATTATTATTATTATTATTATTATTATTATTATTATTATTATTATTATTATTATTATTATTATTATTATTATTATTATTATTATATTATTATTATTATTATTATTATTATTATTATTATTATTATTATTATTATTATTATTATTATTATTATTATTATTATTATTATTATTATTATTATTATTATTATTATTATTATTATTATTATTATTATTATTATTATTATTATTATTATTATTATTATTATTATTATTATTATTATTATTATTATTATTATTATTATTATTATTATTATTATTATTATTATTATTATTATTATTATTATTATTATTATTGTTATTGTTATTATAAATTCGAAATAAAATCACATTTTATATTAAACAAAATTATATTTTTATTTATAATTGTAGAACTACATACATTTCATTTTATAATCGTGAATAAATCTTTGAAACATTAAAAGTTGTTATACTTTTTTTATAAAATTTACATTACTATAAAAGTTTAGTGTGAGTGACTGAAGAAAACGGTGATTTTTAGGAATTTTTTTCAGGGAAATTATTGCATCTAATTTTTAATACAGACTTAAATAAACTTTTTGTTTTTTTTATTTCAGTCCCTCAGAAGGCCGCAATCACTGCAGCGCAGTGGGAAAACTGGATTTTTTTTTATATAGCGAATAACTCTTAATTAAAAAAGAATATTTTTCTTTGAAAAAAATTACAAAATGTTGACTATTTATACAAATATGTATACATGTACAAAACTGTATTAAAAATTAGATGCAATAATTTCCCTGAAAAAAATTCCTAAAAATCACCGTTTTCTTCAGTCACTCACACTAAACTTTTATAGTAATGTAAATTTTATAAAAAAAGTATAACAACTTTTAATGTTTCAAAGATTTATTCACGATTATAAAATAAAATGTATGTAGTTCTACAATTATAAATAAAAATATAATTTTGTTTAATATAAAATGTGATTTTATTTCGAATTTATAATAACAATAACAATAATAATAATAATAATAATAATAATAATAATAATAATAATAATAATAATAAGTCAAGACTATTTAATAAGTAAACTGTTTTCGAAGAGCCCAAAAATAATGAAGCTAAATCCCATAAAAAAAGAGGAAAAAATGTTGCATTTTAAGCAATTCGGATATTTGAATTTTTGATAATATTAGATAATTTTAAATTTTTTATCAAAGAGTCGAGGCTATTCAATAAGTAAACTATTTTCGAAGAGCCCAAAAGTAATGAAATTATATTTAAAATTGCACTGGAATGTCGTAAAAGTTTGACCTATAAATCATGGAAAAGGTATGGAATTTTAATTTCGGATTTCTGTAGGAATCTTGTTATTTATTTACAATAAAAATTTAAGTATTACTTACATATAGAATCTATTTCTTATTTAAAGTAGAGAGTAATGCAATTTAATATTCACTATATAAAGAAATAACAAAATAATAACAATACACAATATTTTATTTAATTTGAAAATAATTTTAATTTATGCACATTAATTAATTAATTAATTAATTCATTCATTCATTCATTCAATCATTCATTATAAATAGATAAAAGAAACTTGAACTCTTCATTTAGAAGCGAAATATTTAGACAAATAAGAAATATTCACTACTTTTTTTTAACGATCATCTTACTGACTTCTAAATAAATCAATATTACATTAAATATACATAATAAATTCACAATTACACAATAATAAGAATAACAATATTAATAATTATACTATAAACAGATTAATATTTATAAAAATTTGTAAAACACATATTCATATTACTAGAGCCATCTATGATTGTAATAGATAACCACAATTTAATTTAATTACCTTATAATAAAAACTATAATATAAATTAAAATAATCATAATAATAGTGATACTTATATAACAAAAAAATAAACATTTACTGACAAGTAATTAGTAAACAAACAAAAAAATTTTACTCAATAAAAAAAATTGTCACTTACCAAAACGATTTCAAATCTCGCGCACTTTCAAAATTCCCTAGGAAGAACATATTACATAGATAGTAAACTCAGATGTTAAATTCTCTTCGATAAAATGAACATTCGAAGTTTTAAAAATTCGATCAAATTAACATTCGACGTTTTAAAAATTCGATCAAATGAACATTCGAAGATTTGAAAATTCGATCTAATGAGCATTCGATGTTTTAAAAATTCGATGAACTGAGCATTCGACGTTTTGAAAATTCGATCAAATTAACATTCGACGTTTTAAAAATTCGATCAAATTAACAATCGATGATTTAAAAATTCGATGAAATGAGCATTCGAAGTTTTGGAAATTCGATTAAATGAGCATTCGAAGTTTTGAAAATTCGATGACATGAACATTCGACTTTTTAAAAATTCGATCTAATTAACATTCGATGTTTTAAAAATTCGATGAAATAAGCATTCGAAGTTTTGGAAATTCGATGAAATGAGCATTCGAAGTTCTGGAAATTCGATGAAATGAGCATTCGACGTTTTGAAAATTCGATGAAATAAGCATTCGAAGTTTTGAAAATTCGATCAATTTAACATTCGAAGTTTTAAAAATTCGATCTAATGAACATTCGAAGTTTTGAAAATTCGATGAAATGAGCATTCGACGTTTTGAAAATTCGATGAAATGAACATTCGAAGATTTGAAAATTCGATCAAATGAACATTCGAAGTTTTGAAAATTCGATCTAATGAGCATTCGACGTTTTGAAAATTCGATGAAATGAGCATTCGATGTTTTAAAAATTCGATGTAATGAGCATTCGACGTTTTGAAATTTCGATCAAATTATCATTCGATGTTTTAAAAATTCGATGTATTGAGCATTCGAAGTTTTTAAAATTCGATGTAATAAGCATTCGATGTTTTAAAAATTCGATGAAATGAGCATTCGAAGTTTTGGAAATTCGATGAAATGAGCATTCGAAGTTTTGGAAATTCGACGAAATGAGCATTCGACGTTTTGAAAATTCGATAAAATAAGCATTCGAAGTTTTGAAAATTCGATCTAATGAGCATTCGATGTTTTAAAAATTCGATGAAATGAGCATTCGATGTTTTAAAAATTCGATGAACTGAGCATTCGACGTTTTGAAAATTCGATCAAATTAACATTCGATGATTTAAAAATTCGATGTAATGAGCATTCGAAGTTTTGAAAATTCGATGAAATGAGCATTCGAAGTTTTTAAAATTCGATAAAATTAACATTCGACGTTTTGAAAATTCGATGTAATAAGCATTCAGAGTTTTGAAAATTCGATAAAATGAGCATTCGATGTTTTGAAAATTCGATGAAAAGAGCATTCGAAGTTTTGAAAATTCGATCAATTTAACATTCGAAGTTTTAAAAATTCGATCTAATGAACATTCGAAGTTTCGAAAATTCGATGAAATGAGCATTCGACGTTTTGAAAATTCGATCAAATGAACATTCGAAGATTTGAAAATTCGATCAAATGAACATTCGAAGATTTGAAAATTCGATGAAATGAGCATTCGACGTTTTAAAAATTCGATGTAATGTGCATTCGAAGTTTTGAAAATTCGATCAATTTAACATTCGATGTTTTAAAAATTCGATCAATTTAACATTCGATGTTTTAAAAATTCGATCTAATGAACATTCGAAGTTTTGAAAATTCGATGTGTTGAGCAATCGACGTTTTGAAAATTCGATATATTGAGCATTCGATGTTTTGAAAATTCGATGTATTGAGCATTCGATGTTTTGAAATTCGATGTAATGGATATTCGATCGATTTGATTTTTGGGAGATTTCATACGACCGAATTAAAAAAAACATTTAAATGAATAATATATTATTTTGATATTTTTATAATTAAAATTATAATTTAAAATGCGCGGTACTCAGATAACCTATTATAATCATCGTCATTTTGGAACTTTTTCTCTCCATCAATCAAAAGCTTTGACAAACCAATCAGCTGATTGTACACTTTTGGCAAACTAAAAACTAAAAACAAATCTTTTTATAGAAAGTTTACAAATTTGATAAAACAGTGATTGTTTATTTATTTGCAAGTAAATAAGAAATTTTTATTTTATGAATTAATAATTTTCTTTTCTACTTGAAGAAAGTTTTAGAGAAATGCGAGAAATGTAGCGGGGTTAAATAGCCCTATCTGGAAGAACAAAAATTTCCACAGAGTGAAACTAATTTCTAGGTTGAATTTCCGATCAATTTTCTTCATTTTTCTTTTTAGTACGTGACTCTAGTCCAGACGACGTTGTTTCAACACCACGATTTTGCTGTCAAAAAGAAGATTTTCGTTTATTTTTGTGTTTATACACTAGGACACGTATAAAAAATTACTGAATTTGTATGTCTCGCTAAATTAGAAACTAAACGTTTCTTTTTAACATGATTAAACTATTTTCCTTGAAACAAGCAAAAAAGGATGGGGAATCTCCAAGAGGTGGAACACAGAAGAAAGCTTCAGCAGCCCAGCTGAGAATAATGAAAGGTTTTTAATTTCACTGTTTTTAAAACATAACAATTTTTCCCTTTTGTTTTGTAAACCCAAATTTTTACCTATATGTAGCAGAAAAAGATTCAATTTGTTAACCTCTACATTGTTTCTTTGTTCTTCTAGATGTAAATGAACTTAATTTACCAAAAACATGCCAATTAGATCATCCTGATCCGGATGACCTGCTTAGTTTTAAAATAACTATTTGTCCCGATGAGGTAAGAATCGTCTTTGTTGATATATTTTTATTGTGCAAGAAAAATATTTCTCTCTTTTGAATTTCATTTCCGCTTCCTAATAAAACTATTTCTTTTTCTAGGGTTTTTATCGAGGTGGAAAATTTGTTTTTAGTTTTAAAGTTGGGCCTAATTATCCACATGAACCTCCGAAAGTTAAATGCGAGACACAGGTCTATCACCCGAACATTGACCTTGAGGGGAATGTGTGCCTGAATATTTTAAGAGAAGACTGGAAACCAGTTCTTACTATCAACACGATTGTTTATGGACTACAGTATCTTTTCCTAGTAAGTTTACTAACATTTAAACAATAAGATATTAAAAACTTGTTACTTGGAGATTAAAATAAGAGATCAACAATTAATTGATTTATTCATTTAACAGGAACCAAATCCAGAGGATCCGTTAAACAAAGACGCGGCCGAGGTTTTGCAAAACAATCGTCGAGTATTCGAGCAAAATGTAGCAAAAGCCATGAAAGGTGGTTATATAGGTCAATATTATTTCGAACGATGTTTAAAGTGATACATCGCTCGTTTCATGGGGTGTGTAAATGCACACGGAAAATCACAATCGCAAGTGGAGGTCTTAAAAAAAAAGATAAAAAAATATTTCGAGTACGAGTAATGGAGCACTTGGTGTAGGACGTTTGCCGTATACCTTACATTTTGCTTTTTATATACTCGCTAGTTTTCGAATTTCGCCGAGACCTTCGATCTCTCTTAAAACCATCGAATATTTTACGCTTCTTTGGTCTATAAATCTAATCTAAAAGTAAAAAAAAAGAAACAACCGAAATAACACGATTCATTCTATTTGGCTAAGAAAACGGAAAACATTTTACTTGTACATAAATCGATTAAAAATATGTTTCAAGTACACAAGACGGAAGTGAAAATGAAAAACTTTAATCTCTTAAACAAAAATTTGTGTTAATTTTCATTCTATTAGCTGCTATTCACCATTTTTCTATATATTTAAAAAAGAAAAAAAAAGAAAACACGTCTGTTGGGGCACCTATTGATAATTGTACAAAGTCTGGATTCTAGATTCTTCAAAAACAATTTTTTATTAACTTTTATTTCAAATTCTTACTTTTTATTTTTAACTTAAAATTTTTTAAACCAATTGTATTCTTATGTGTAGATTTTTTCGATTCTGTAAAAGTTTCAGATTAATAAATGTTCTTCACAAGAAAACCGTAAAACTGACGTTTAACGTCAATTCACATAAATTGTCATAGCCAATGGTGGATTTGCATAGTTAAAAAGAAGGAAAACACTGTTTTTGGAGTATTACAGTAAATCATTGACAATTTACGGATTTTAAACAGAAAAAAATTTTTCAATAGCTATGCAAATCCTCCAATGAGGAAGTACAAATTATAATATTAAACAAAAACTCATCACTGCATTTATTTATAAAATTTTCTTTGGACCATGACTGACTAATTACTTTTAAGAATATCATTAATCGTATTCTTCATTTAGCAAAATAATTCACGACTATCTGTCATGATTCAAAGAACAAATATACCACTAATCTGTAATAATTTTTTTAGCAATGTAAGAATATAATAAATACAGTCAAAAATAATACACTTTACTGTTTATTTTTTTATAAAATTTATTTTTTCGACGTAGGTAGTAAAAACGAAAAGTTAAATAAGAGCAAAGAAATCAATGAAAATCGATTTCTTTAGTAAAATACACAAATAATATTAACCATAAATTATAATTAATAGTAATTACACTTGTAAATCATAAAAATTTCTATAAATTAATATTCTCATCAATTTACCTTGGATAAAAATGAAACTCTAAATTCGAAATTTGATAAAAAAAACAACAACCATTCGAAAAAGAGGATTTTTTATTTAATTATTTAAAAAATTAGATTTCATTATTGACAGTTGAACTTTTTTTTTTTTTGCTTCAATTTGAGTTAAAGACAGACACTTGTGATGCTTGTGATTGACGCTGCTTAAGAGAAATAAAAAGATTTCTAAAATCTCAAAGAAAAAAAAAGATTTTCATTATGAATATTAATCGTAGACACAAAATATTTATTATTTCACAAAAAAAAACCTTACAGCCGAGAACACCTCTTTTTTGTGTACAGTTTACAATTAAAGAGAATAGTGCTTTTTAAATATCGTTCCTTCATTGAAAAATATTTAATTATATAAAATCTTGTCAAGTACTTCATCCGTATAATTACATATATATATTATATAAAAAAATTAATAACGTGTACAATAAATTTAAATTTTTTAAATTAATTGTTATACCAGAGAAAAAGAATAAATAAATTTACAATTATTATGCATTTGAAGAAAAAAAGAAGTATTCAGAGCAAACATAAAAAATGTATGGGAAATTCGTCTTAGTTTAAAACAAATAAAAAAGAATACACATTTTATATGCTCTAAAAAGATACAATATAAAAAAAATTTAAGAAATAATTCAAGAATATAAAAATTCTTGGCGACAAAATATTATTGAAAGATTCCTCTTTCTCTTTTTTTCTTATTCAGACGAATTTCTTTTTAAGGCGGAGTTGCTAAAAAACAGAACCTTTACAGCACTATTTTTTCACTTGTCTATCTAAAGTAATATTTTTATCCTTTGGGAGAAGTAGGACGATGTCTTGTTACTGATCTCTAGACGGCTTTTTTATTTTGGTGTACAAAACGTGCTTTCAATTTTTTTCACTTCCCAATTACCAAAGTTAATTTGAAAAAAAACTTATCGACTATTCTTTTTTTTTTTGTAGTTCGTAATTGGTAATTGCAAAATGAACAAGTGCGGCGATTGAAATAGTCAACATGTATCTACACGGTAAAAAGTTTAAATACAATTAATAATTTTTTTTTTTGTCGTTTAGCTCACGTATTTTTCTCTTCTGAAAATACCCGAAAAAGAAGAATAAAGTTAAATGGACAGTACTTTTTGTTTTTTTCTTAATTTTTTTCCTTTTCTAAAAATTAAAAAAAAAATGTGTACATTTTTTTCTAAGCAAGAAAATAAAATCTCAAAAAAACACAATTTGCGTTATTCTTTTTATCACTTCAAAGCAAAAATAGTTTACAAAAGCGTATTTCATTCGATTGCAACGTTACTTATTATATATATATATTTTTTTTTAATAAAATGACACATTTCTTTTTTTCTCTCTTCTTATTTGTTTAAAATCTTTATACAACAAAGTGTAGCATCGCCTTGCGATTGTAAATTTACGTGAATTGATTTTTCTTTTAGTTTAATAATTGATCACCTAATTATTTTGAGATTGTTATCGACGTCTTTCAGAATAATAAAAAATTAGTCCGACCGTCTTGATATAATGTACATTTAGTTTACAAAAAAATAGTAAATAGGAAGTGCTATATGTCTTCCTAAATGATCGTATTAACAGTTGTCTTATACCGTCGTACGATGTAATTAACTTTTATAATTTTTTGTTTCTTTATTTACTTACTTAGTCTAAAATAAAAACCTTATAATTTCCTTTATCGACCTAACGGCGTACCGCCAAAATTGAACGAGGTGGGCACAGTCTGGGAATGAAAGGCGTAACCTGCACCGAGAATAATCATTCCTTTAATATTATGGAAACAATTTTATTTTAATATTACGAACAAAGTTTACTAACCTCCACTCTGTTCAATTCGTTTGCTCTCTAACGCTGCTTTACGCTGATCGGCGAGGAGAATGATTTCTTGCAAGGTTTTTTGTTGTTCGGCTGTTAAGTTGCTGGTAAGAGCTCTATACCAATTATGATCTGTCTTTTCAATATCTTAAAAAATGCATTTCATTAACAATCAATAATAAACAATCAAACTTATTAATTGTAAATTAAATTCTCATAAGTTAATATCACTTACTTTGCATAACTTCCTTAAAGACGACATATTCATCTTGTTTCGTGTCGTCCGAATCTAAAGGTGTAATGTAAGTCTCGAGAGCAGTCTCTTCATTCGCTTCATATTCCGAGTCCTCATCATCATCTTCATCCGATTTATGATCTCCAATTCCGTCTTGAATATATGAATTCACAGGGAATCCGTGAAGCGAGCTTTTCCATACTTTTTCCTGAAGCTTTTCCAAATATTCTTGACTAGCGTCGTCAATTTCATCTTCGTCCGACGACAGGACTTCTAAATTGTCAAGAGATCAGGAAAAAAGGAATTGTAAATATTTTTCACTAAATTAACACACTATTATATTAAAGGGAATATAAAAAAAACATGCCTTCGTCAATGTCAGTTTCCTCATCTTCATTTCCATCATCATCGCCATCGGCCACTTTCGCAGCGTAGGCACGTTTCAGTCCGTCAAAAAGTAAAATTAATGATGGAATAATTTGATGAGAGCACTCATTCACTGCAGCTGGTCTTGATGGACCCATACTAATTAAAGTACAAAGACCAAAAACGCAAAGTTTCCTGTCATGCAACCTGTGGAAAAATATTTATTATTATCGTAGGAAAATAATTTTTATTGTCAATTTTTTAAAATCTATTTTTTCTTGTTTTGAATCTTACCCAAGAAAACAGTCTGTGTCGAGTATCCATTGCTTTATGAAATGCGAAGCAATTGGTTCTGCCGATTGACCTAGAGTGCCCTGTAATCTGTCCATTGCATCGAGACACAATGTTGGATTGTAATACAAAGCTGCGATTACTACTTGAAGGCACATTGTTCGAAGTTCAGAAGTTTTCACTTCGCGCGTCAGACGTTCTAAAACCAGTTGAACAAGCGATGGTATGCACTGCAAGAGAAATAAACAAAATAGAGAATTCAATTTTTATTTTGCTTATAATAAAATTGAATTAAGTGAAGATAATTTACCTGATCTATTTGTCCTTTACACTGCAAAATGATGACTTCCAACAACTTTGCAGCATGGCACTCGGGATCTTCCCCAGCTTCGCCCATCAAAACCTATAATTATATTTTTTAGAATAAACTAAACAAAAAAGTCTTAATTTTCTTGTGCCTTGCTATATAAATTGTTACATACCGCCTTACACATATTGAACATGGCTAAAATATGATTTTCATTCGATAGGAATGCTGGAGTATCGACAGTAATATAGTTGTGAAGCGCAGGCATCATATCCGTGAAATAATCAAAACCATCTTTTTGGAATAATTGATACATAAGTTCCAGTACTTTCCACATATCTTCGGAAATTGATTTTCCCGTGAGATCGTAGACCAACGATAGAGCCTCTTCATAAAATTCTGAAACATTCACAGTAATTATGAGTTAGAAAAATTTAAAAATAAAAATCAATAATTTCCTTTTTATAAAAATAAATTGAAGCGAACCCATAACACTTTGACCGAAAATGTGAGCAATCACTTGCAGAACTGTAGGTTGTAGTTGAGCCATTATTTGCGGCTGATCTTCCATCACTGACAAAAGAGTTTCGATTGTGTTCAATAAACCCATTGCTGCAATGGCTTTCTCGTCGCTACCCTCGTCCGTTTCCAACACTTGACTGAATGTTGTGGCCTTGAAAACAAATTATTAAAAAAAATGAAAACCAGAACAAATAATAAAGAGTGTAATAAATAATTTGACATCATTGAGATAATTAAAACTGAGACAATTTTTAATTCCCCTTTCATTTAAAGAAAGAATGAATAAAATTACCAAGTGTTGGCAAATTTCCACAGCGATTGGCATTAGCTGTTCTGGATATGTGCAAACGAGTTTCTGCATGACAGTCGTCAAATCATCATTTTCAGTCTCCCTGATAATATTCAATAATTCAAGTGTAATTTGTTTTATGAAGGGCTCAACGTATCGATGGGCTTTCTCTTGGGCGATAAGCAACATCTGAAGAGCTATGGCGGCTTCGACTTTCACTGGAAGATCCTTGTCCGTTAACAAAGCGTGAATTGTTAACCTCATCGCTTCAACTAAAATTAATTCTTCCTTAAACTTGATTTCAGAAAAGTAATGTAACACCCAACAAGCCTGCAAAACAATAATTGGACTTAAATCTAAAGCAAATAATAGAATTAGTGATAACGATTATAGATCACAATCTTTAGATTTAAAATTAATTAAAATTAAATTTTAATCTTATCATACCCTCGCTCTCATGTGGCCGTGCACACTGTTGAATTCTGGGAAGACATACTGCATGAGCATCTTATCCATTTGATCCTTATAAATCTTTTTCCTCAGCAAAATATCAGCGAGGCTTCCCACCTGTAAATTAATAGAATCACTTTTATTACTCTTCTTGATAAACTAACAAAAAATTATATTTAAAAATTTATTTATTTATTTATAATAATCAAAGTTCCTAGGGCTATATGAAAGCCCACAAGCCATATTGTCCTTTTATTTCAAGTTGAAAACTTGAATAATTTTCAGAAATTAAAAAATAAATTCAGTGATATGACGTATGAGAATGAAATGTTTTTACCATGTGCAAAGCGCCGTCCTTTTGTCGAGGATCTGCATTCGGACTGGTTAAGACTTCCATACAGAATTGCATTGTCTTTTGTAACATATCTTTGCGCTTTTTACAGGACGCGTGTAGTAATGTTTGTGCAGCAGTCACGGGAGAAACAAAGTCCTCGAATATATCTGAAATTAAAAAATCCACAAATTATTTCAATTGCAAAATAAACATATTTTATTAATAATAAATAAATTTATTTTAAAAAATGCTCAAGTTTAATTAAAGTTTTACTGTACCAAATTTGACTCTAATGTACTCGTAAGGATCCGTGTTCCATAATTCTTCGTCAGCCTCAGAATATGAAAGAATTGGAAACAAGACGTCTCGAATAATTTCATACATATGAGGCTTTAAAAATTTCCAAGAATGAGCATGACAAACGCTGTTAAAATAAATATTAATATATTTTTAAAATCATGGTATTTAATTACGAAAGAAAGAAAAGTATTAACAAAATTATAAAACAATAAACTTACGCTTGATTAATGTAATTTAGGGATTGTTGTACTACTCTTGGAGAAATGTAAACTTTTCTACGATATTGATCCAATATTTTGAGCAAAACTTCCAAAATCCCACCGCTAAATGTCTGCAAATACCATTCTGAGAAATCTTTGTACTCCTTAATTACTTTTCCTGGACTGCCGTATCTGCAAGTAAAAAATAATTTTATTTTTAGCCTAAATCTTTTTTTAATTTATTTTTAAATAAAATGAATGAGTATATCAAAAATGAATTCAAGAAAAAGAATGTATGCCAACCTTTCAAACATTCTTTGCAGAATATGAAGAGCCCACTTTTTACACTTCCACCAGGGTAATTCAGATCGTTCTTCGTCGTCTAAATTGGGATCGTTTGTTTCAACGGGCACAGACCTATCTGCAACTTGTCTCACTACATCCATCCACTGCGAGAAAACTTCTTTCGATATAAGGTCAAGAGGGAGAGTGTACTGAAAGTAACAAATTTTTTGTTTAAAAACAGTGAAAATTTTCAAATTAGTAAAAACAAAAAAACGATTTAAAGCTTAAAAATTGTACCTGTGTTAAGGCAAAGAATATTTTGAGTATTTGTTTCTGTAAAAGGACAGACTGCTCGGATGCGTCAGGTAGAAGTCGTACTATTAATTGATAAATCATGGGTAATAATAAATTCATAGCTTCATGCAGTGGTCCTCTGTCTTCCGCTTTTTTGTACCTAATTAGTGCAACATTATTTTTATTAAATTATTCACGTTTAAAGGTAAATAATTTTCAATATAAAGAATTTCAAATTTAACTCACTCGAAATTTTTAACAAGTTGATAAAGAGCAAGCAGAATACCAGGCCAACAGGAAGCGTCTGGATTTTGCAAGTAAATTGTAATTTTGTCAATAATTTGCGTCCACCTTCCAGGGAAATCGTGCTTTACAATATTACTTATACATACTGCCAATTGTACCCTGTATTTTAAATAGAACATTAATTCACAAATAATGAAAATTACCCATTGATTTGTAAATTTTTCAAAGGAGGAAAATTTCTGTCACCTTATAAGTTCTGGTGCCACTACTACTGCATCAACAATCGCGTTACGAATCATGGCACGATCTTGTTCATGAATACTAAATTGTAAAGCAGCATTGTCTGTTTCTCGATCCACCCAGTTGGTAGTTATTAAATTTTTTAAATATATAACACCTAAAACAACCAAACGAAGTATAATTTCAATTTTATAATTTTATAAACATTCGAATTTTTCTAAAAACAACATTTACAATTCAGCATTAGATTATTAAAATAATTAAGTTATTATACAAAAAATTTTACAAATTAGTTTTCAATCTCACCTGCTTGTCTAACTGGCATATCGACTTCCGATGAAATTACAACTTGCAAAAGAGTGGGAGCAAAACCAATAATTTTGTGAATCTGGAAAATTGTTCATTGAAATGTAAATAAAAAAAAATTATAAATATTTGTAGAACAATAAATTTTTGCATAATAATAATAATAACGAAGCTTTTAATAACATATTGACAATTTCGGAACAATAATTACTAATTATGAAAACGAATTTTCTAGATTTCGTGACATACTGAAAAATGCAAAGGTCAAATTCAAAGTATTATCAGTAAATTCAAAAACAATATGTTTGGTTTAGTATAAATATAGATATTATATATACATGTGGTTATAATTTCAAACAAAATGAAAAAAATTCAAATTCAACGAAAATTTATCTCCCATCTATTACCACAGAATTACTAATCGCATTCTTCGAATTCTTACTCTAATTTTAGAAATTCAGTTCCATAATTTTTCGCAAATTGCCGAAATTTACAAATCTATATCACGAATTGATACGAATCGATATGAATATTAATTTGATAATTTGACAAATTGAAAAATTTACACCATGAAACAAAAAATGATATAATTTGGTTAATTATTTTTAATTACAATGTAAAATAAAACAATTATATCGAGTATTTAAAAAATAAAAATACATTGAAAAACAGTTGGAAAAAGATAATTATTCATAAAAAATCATTGAAATAAAATTAATTTATCGTGCATTTTGTATAATTATTGAAAATTTTAGACCAAATATAAGTTCATTAGGAACTATGTGAAATATAGAGAAATGTGAAAAACAGATTAATTAAGATCTCCCTTGCCAATTTTCCTCTCTCGAACATAATAATTGAAAGTTTGATCGTAAAATGAATTGAATTTCTCGCTTTTGATATTCTCAAAAAAAAGAAAAAGATTTAAGCAATAAAATCGCTCTAGAATGACGGATCACGATTAGAACAGAGCTACAGCCACATTTTTGCTTCTAAAAAACGTGAACCCTTCATCAATGACTTAGAAATCTGTGCACGCATTCGAAAACCCGTGACAGAATTTCGATTTTCGAATGCATATATAAATGTAATAACTGGAGGATAAAATATGGAAATTAAAGAAACCACATGTCTCCAGTTTTGGCGATAAGGTAATCGAGCACGTTTTTACGAGCGACAGCGAACGTACCTGATTGAGCTGTTCCTCCGCCTGCTTTTGTTGAGCGGGGTCTATCGTTGCTTGCAGTAATTCTGTTAATTTACGGGGATCCATTTTGTCGGTGATATTATTCGTTGTAACAATAATTCTTACTTGTTAATTTTTTATCCTGTTTTCATCCGAGTAAAAAACGATTTCTACCCGGCGCATTCACCTTACTGCCTGCCTGCCACAGCTCCTTCGTCACGTGACGCATCAACATGAACATGGCGGCTATTCGATGCGATAAACATATAGCCAATACAATTTTTCATATTTCTTTCACCTAATTTCAAAATAAAAAATACAGATATGATTTCATCACTGTATAAAGTATCATAGGCATTTTTTTTATTAAGTTTTATTGAAAATATTTTTATTATTTCGAGCCATCAAACGCGGGATTAGAATATTCCAAAATGTAATATTGTGATTGGTTGTGGGATATATTACTAATGACGTCACGTGATAACGCGCCAGCAGAAAAAAATTTTAATTAGTTACACACAGAATCAAAATTAGAAAATAAAAAAATTTCTTTATCATAAAACAGGATATTTACAAATCAGAAAGATATTTTTGAAATATTTTTATAAATTTAGTTAAGAAATCGATAATTGACTATGAGTTTCAAACTCTTGTTGTCTGCGGTTAAATCAATCCTAAAGGTTTACTCACACAGCAAGAATAGTACTAAATACTTGTGAACTGTTCTTAAAGGAAGTGACGTAACGGTTATTTAAATTTAAAAATAATAATACGTTTATTCATTCACATGTAGAAAAATAGAAAATTGACTGTGTTTACATTTAATGTAAATAAATATCATAAATAAAATACAGACATATCGCACTGGCACTTAAATGACGTTTACAACTGCTCATAATCAGCACAATGGAAATGCTTCCGTTACTTCTTCGATTTTGTATTTGAGTATTAAATTTTCTTTTCGATAAAGAAAATAACCTTTAAATGGAATACCTTTAAACAAATAAGGAAACCAGAGAGAATTACTTGACCACATTCTTTCATAAGGGATCTCAGATAAATTAAACCACTTCGGTCGCATTTCTGAAAACCAAATTCAGAAAATTAGTAATTGTGTATGAAATTAAATTACAATTCTAATTAAATAATTAATTAAAGTACCATCTGTATCAATAATGTTTCCTTCAAACATAAATGTATCAAAAACATGAACTTCTAGAAGAACAGGATCATCTTCAAATTCGAACTCAAGAATTCCAATTTGTCGTAAATCTTTGGAGTTCAAACCACATTCCTCCTTTAATTCTCTGTAAAAAGATTTATATTTATTCAAATTTTTTTTTTATTTATAAATTTCTACTTTTTAAAATATTAAATATAAATGCTGAAGTTGTTATATACCGAAGAGCACATTGGTTCATTGTCTCATTCGGTTCTAATTTTCCACCAAAGCCATTCCACTTTCCAACACCAAATCCTCTTAATTTAAGACCCAATAAAATTTCGGTTTCTTTCCTCACCATCACTAACGAAAATACTTTTTTACTACTCATTGTTAAAGGAATTAATTAAAGAGATAAATTAAAAAAAACTTTGATTGCAATTAGCTACTCTTGCCGCAAACGCTGTCGCTCGCACGTTATTTACTGCGGTTGAGTTAGGAAGGTTAGGTTCACACAAAAAATCAACATGGCAAGTTCAAAAATGCCAATAATAATAAATTGTGGAAAAACAATGTTTTCATACAGATTTGGTACATTTTTGAAAAGTGTACAATCGATTGGATTAATAAAATGTCGTCAATATAGTACAGAAAATACTGCAGGTAAGAGCAACAAATTTTTAGATTTCTGAATTTTAAGGTTATGTCATATTGTAATTTATTTTCTTAAATGTTTTTATATTAAAAACAAAAATTTACATGACATTCGTTTTCAATAGTTAATTACAAAAACAATTTTCGTTTCCTTGTAATAATTTTCTTTAAAAGTTTATTTTAGACATTTGACAAATTTTTCAAAACAATTATTTCTTAATAAACACAATTGTTCTTTTCTTTAGAAAGTTTATAATAATTTTTATCGAGAAAATATTACTTTTATGTAATAAATATTGCTTTATGTAATCTTACAATATTTAATTTTTATTAATAAATTCTTATTTGTTTTAGTAAATAAAGAACGAGATCCAGCACCGTTTTTCTTTAATAAAGAAGTGCAAAAGTTGCTGATGTCAATGACAGGCCGTAATTATCAGAAAATTTTCCGTCGCCGAAAAGACAGTAGTAAATTGGCTTCTCCAGAATATAAATTTATGACTGACGAACAATTAAAAGAATCGATGGAAAAGGCGGAGAGAAAAGCAACGAAACTGTTACAAATGCCACCAGTTGTCAAGGAGAGACCGACAATTGATAAAGTTCTTTCGAAGGATCCCGCATTACAAGGACACGACACAGCGAAACTTGTCATTACAGATATTACATTCGGTATTGAAAATCACGACAGATTAATTGCCGTCAGAGAGACGGATGGTACACTCAGACTTGCGGATTGGGACGAGAGACACAGAATGAATCAAATTTATTTTCCAGTCTATGGAAGGGAGATAACTATGCCAAAAATGTTTGACCAAGAATACCTAGAGGTAATTAGGAAAAACAATTTTTATTTTCTTACAAAATTAATGAATCACCAAATATTTTTATGTTAATTAAAGATGGAAGAAGTTAACAATTAATTTTTATTCTAAATTTCTATTTTCTAGGATTTATTTAGTCGAAAAGAATATATTTTCATTTTGGATCGCGCCTGCATCCAAATGGACCCGGACGATCCAAAATATCAAGAAGTATCTCAATCCACGTATGAATATGTCGACAAAAATGAAGACTATGACATTTTAAAATCTACCAGGCACTTTGGACCAATGGTTTTTCATTTAGTGTGGAATAAAAATATTTCAAATCTATTTCTCCATAATATAAAAACGGAAAATATCGAAGATAACGTTTCATTAATACAGCTTTATAGAAAATTGCATTCTGACATTAATTACGATAATCTCGAAATCGAGGACAATGTTAAATTTGTGGAAGAATTTGCAAAAGAAGAATTTTCGGAAACTAGTATTATACCAGCTTTACAAGCCTATAAAGAACTTGTAAAAGAACGTGAAGAATTGGAAAAGAATATCAAAAAAGCTCATGGACTTGAAGAGTGACATTTTTTTTAGTGCAAGAATAATTTATGTATAATTACTGTTATGACAAATAAATGGATTTTCTAAGAGAAATTCATCATCAAGTTTTTCCCAACGAAAAGAGAGGTGAGAATATTTTTCATTCTATTTATTTTTTATCCCTTTTTCTATATTACATGGTTTTGGTTTCTATAAACGAATATTAAGATAAGATTACGGGTTACAATAAATTTTCAGATTCATTCAAGTCGCAGTTAATTTTTTTTTCTAGATAAGTTAATTAAATTGTATCAGATATATTTTCTTTATCTAATCATTATATAATATAGAAACGAATCAAGATTATTCAATCGCTATATTATTTTCGATAAGAAAATATTAATTAATCACAAAATGATTAATGATTTTTTGCTTTGGAAATAATGTTAATTACGCTTTAAATGTTCAACCAATTATCACAATGTTAAAAAAGAAAAATTGCAAACTAAAAAAAAATGATAAGAAAGAATAATGGTTTATTACTGATAGATGACAAATTGTTTCTAATAAGCGGATATTTCTATTTTACCTTATAATTATCCAAAAAATTAAGGATAATTTAAAAATTATCAATATCAGTTTTATTTAATTTAAAAATATTTTTTGTATCAACAATTATTTATTTAACACTAATTTGAAATTTTTTTAAATTTATAATTAAATTTTTAATTAAAAATTTTTTAATTTTATTTGATTTTCCTGTTTGTCGCAGGGAATCTCTCAGTAGTCGTGCTTATTTTGGATCAGACAGTTGATTGAAAGCTTTGTGTGAAGCATTTATTTTCAAATAAAAATGTAAGAAGTTTTCTCAATTATAATGAAAAATTATATTTTCGATAATTTCAATGTATTTACAAATTTTTTAATATTTGAAATATTTTCAAGAGTTTTCAAATATTTTCAAGTATTTTTAAAACAATTATTTTATTTATCATTAGTTCGTTTTGCTTTTAAATAAAATAGAATATAACTTTTAATGTCATCGAGGAAAATATAATGAAGGTAAATTATTATATTTTAATGTCAACAAATATGTAGAAACAACTTTTTCATTTGGATATTTTTTCCACTTTATCATATTTTAACTGCCTTGACAGATATGTCGTTTTAAACTAGTTTTTATAAAATGCTAAGAAATCCGTGTAAATGATAATATTATTTTCAAAGCAGAATAAGCATATTGTTATAAACGTTTCGCTATATGAAGGAAAATGTCATTTTCAGAGAAATTATTATCGCTTGTGTCCATTTGTTAAACTTTATTATTATTACCATTTATTTAATATTAAACATATTTTTATTTTCCATTATTTTACTGTTATTATCAAATTATTTACTGTTAGCGATACTCTGAATATGGTTCGTTGCAATATCAGAAAATATATCGTTTAATTAAAAAAAAAATCACTAAAAGTTTTTCACTTTACCAGGACATCATATACTAGACCATTAATCAGTATAATGGTTACATAAATATGTGTATAAAAATACTTTAATGCTCCGCAAAATTCTAGTGTGAATTTTAGTTTCATTGAAACGTCACAATGAAACCTTGTCAAGATTAATGAATTAGAGACAGACACTGATCATGCACAATCATTATTATCACAGAGTACACTATAATTTTAATAATTTTTTTTGAGAAGAATTTTTCCAAATCGATAAAAAAGAGAGCAGAAAAGTATAAATCAGAAAACTATTTTTATTTTGTTTTTTTAAAATATTAATTTTCCATAAATTCCAAGAAATATTTTCTATATTCTTGAGAATAAATATTCGTGGGATTTTTTTCTTTCTTATCAAAAAAGTGTACATACAGAATAGTTGCAATTTTAATTAATTGTAATTGAACAATGCAATACAATTGACATTTCGAAGCAGAAGGAAAAAAAATTCTTTTCCATTTTCCACTCTATTTAATACACAAAGACCAATTATCAATCCCGTTGAAACCTCGTTACGTTTTAATGGATCGAGTCAAACAGATCATACAGTAATAAAGTCATCGCAATTTTTAATTGTAAAAATTAGCTTCGAATATATTTCAATGTTTCTTCACAAAGTATCTAATTTTCTATTTTACTTTCAGAAATTAATCTTAACAGAATGAAATCAAATTTTTATTCAAAGTACATATTTCAAATAAAATAAAATACTAAATTTAATTTTTTCATTCTATTTAGTTGTTTAGGAAACTGCATTTTTAATATTATTTAATGTTTACCTAATAAATTATTTTTTTAAAACTTGATAAAGTCTTAACGAATAAAAATTTAGTCTCTAACGAGAACTAATTTCTTTTGCTTACTTTTCAAGGAAAACAAACTGTGTTTTTGCTTACTTTTCAAGTTACATATAGGAAAAATCGATGTTCCCTCTTTCAAGTGTGTATATCGCTGTTTCTTTGCAAAGAAAAAAATCACTTGCTTCAAGATTTTTATAAGCAAAATGAGGAAATCCAATGAAAATGTTAATTTAACTTTACTGATAAAAAATTTTCTCTCAGTTTATTTTTATGTCTCTTGAAAAAGAAAAAAATGTTTTTAATAATTCAGATAGTCAATATTCCTATAACAATATTATAATGAAATATTCCTTTAATATTCCAGAGGAATATTTTCAAAATTCAAAAAGCAAAATTAAAATGGGAAGTAACGTTCGAATATTTGTTTTAAGAAAAGAGGAAAAAATTGAAATATAAGTGTCGGTGGAAAGCAAAGAGCAAACGGACGTACAATAACAAAGCATTAATTATTAATGATGATCATTATAATGAATATGAATATCGATATAGACAATGCAGTATTGTAGATAATGACAGTACAATGACATTTAGCTTCGATGATTTTCTGTTGAACGCGTGTCAAACGCGAAATTTTAATTTTAAAATATATTATCGTTGGAAGCAACAGTTGGTGGGGCAATAGAAAAAGCAAGATTTACGGGATATGAATCAAGTGCAAAGAGGACAGAAAATGATGCTTACAAATCGGACGGACATGCGTAAAATCCCACGATATAGTTTGTTGCAAGTAACGTAGTCTCATTGAAACGACGTTCAGCGTCGGTCGCGCGCGCTTTTTTCGACTCTCTTCTTTTTTACAATAAAATCAAAATAAACCAATTCAATTTTAACTAAAAAAAATTATTTTGTAAATTATTTTCCACAGCCAAATTATTTTGCATCAAAATAAAATTATAGCTAAAAATAGTAAATAATTACTATAAATAAATAATAAATTTAGGAGTAGTTATTCTTATTATTTTTAATATGGAATTAAAAAAAATTAAGTTTACGAAAAATAGTAGTAAGAAAGTATCTAATAATAAATAAAAATAACAAATATTGTAATTTTAATTATTTACATTGGCTAAAGATTATTTACAATTTCAAGTATAAATTTAATGCTTAATGTTTCGTGCGTATTAATTATTATTGTTGATTAGATTAGATTTTATTAGGGAAATCACAAACACATTCCAAGTTTATTTCGATATATAATAATTATATATATTGTGAAGTGATAATTATCTAGAAAGGTAAAACATGATTTGAAACAAATTTTATTGTGTACATCATGACCAATGAATGTGCACTTTTTACAAGAAAAAAATACGATAAAAATATACTCACAATTATTTATAAATATTAAAATCGAAATTTTAGAGCAAATAGACGTCGCGTGCATCAGTTTGCAATGAATTTTATGAAAATCAAAATATTTACGAACAAAGAAACTTTTATCGTTATAAATAAAAATTTGATAATTTCGTGGGAATGAAAATTTATTCCTAAAAATAATTCCCTAATCAGTTCATAAGTGTCATTTGTAGTATACATATATCGCCTGGAGAGGTGTAAATAAAGCAGTTACTAAATCCAGTGACAAGTGATAAATTTTATTTCCGTTTTTGGAATGGAACACGAGAATTTTGTGTAAACAAGAAAATTGGACAGTCACTTGCATTTCTTTTTTCCAAATAAAAGAAGAACAAAAAATGGTAAGTTGTTTACCTCATATTTTTAAGCAAAAACTATTGACATTTTCATTTCATTTTTATTGTTGAGTTATTATTTATTGCAATAAATAATAATGTCATGACATTATTGTTAATTAGTATACAAAAATACTTGTTTAGAAATTTACTATTAAAAATATTAATTTAAATAAATTTTAAAAGAAATATTAATATTGTTTAGTATTAAATTATTAAATTAAAATATTAAAATTCGAGTACAAGATTATTATAAATTCATGTTATTTAAAACGTTTTTTTCGAAAATGCCTTTTGAAGTGTACTTTAACATCCCATGATGTTAATTAAAAATGGTTAATTAAAATTTACGTCGATGGCTTCAGTCAAGAGATATAAATTCCCTTTTTAATGGATAATATAGTTAAAAACTATTTGCAATGAAAAATTGCATTTTATCATTTTCTTTATAAAAATGATTTTCTAAATTATATTTAATTTTCTCTTTGAATATTTCCTCTAATATTTAATAAATTATAAAAAAGGATTTTTTTCCAGGAATTTTTTTTTTCCATTTATTCTCTATTCTGTGAAAAACAAAAAAAAAAGTGAAAAATTTTTCGCCTTTTTTCTTTGACAGCGGAAAAAAGCCAGTCGGTTAACAAAGTTTATCATTCATAGACTATAGTGAACAATTTTTCGCCCCGAAGAAATAAATTGAAATAGATCAATAATAATCGTGTGAGATGAAAAAAAGAGAAAAATTTTCAAAAGTGCTACAGAATATTTTCATGTATAGGATAACAAAAAATTCCTTACAAACTAAAGAATGTACTTGATATACTTGACTTTTGTGATTACATTATGTATGCAGAAAGTATAAAATCTTTTCTACCGCAAGAAAAAGAGGGGAAAGAATAATGTTATTTAAAAAAAGCCTTTAAAACAGAAAAAACTCGCTATGGTCACGTTTTTGTTATAACGAGAGGGAAAATTTAATTTGCAAATACCTCTATTGTGATACGCTTTGTTATTTATTTTGTGTATCGTGTCAATCGCCAAAGTAGCGCCACACGTATAATTTTTGCACAACTCTTGCCTTATGGATTCTATAAATAAAGTTTAAGGTTGCATTTATAAATGTTTCGTGATAATTTCATATGACGCGGATAAATGTTTGCAACATGTTGACAGATTTTCTTGAAAAAAAAAGAATAAATAAATTATCGCAAATTAATTGTAAAATATATGCTCTGAAGAAAAGTGGGCACTTAAAAGCAAAATTTACAATTTTGCGTCAATTTTTAAAATCAATTTAAAAAAAAAAATGGTTAATTACAACGGAATGTTAATTGAAAAATCATTCGAATACCTATAGAACATTTTAATTGCTAATAGATTTTTCTGAAAGGAATTTAATTGTTCAAATATGAAATGAGTTATTATTCAATTTATATCAATTTATTAAACGATCATTCCGTTCATTAATTTCCATTAAAGAGGTCCCAATAAAAAAATCAATAAATTACATTGATTAAATCTCGTGTCAAATGTTGCACGTGATAGCGCATGTATATCATATGGAATCTTATCGAAATACCAAAAAGATCCGCTCCTTGAGATAATCTTCGATTCAATTGTATTTTATTGTTTCTTTTTTAATGGAGAAATGTCAATACTCATTAAATACTTAACGTCTTAAAAACTCCAGTAGCCGGAAATCATTTTTTTCTTAGTCAGAATTTTTCTTCAGAAAGGAAACGAACCAGAAATATCCTATAGTGATAAAAATTACATTTACATGTATTAAAATTTAATTGTATTTAATTTAAAATATTATTATTATTATTGTTATTATTTGGATTTAAAATGAATATTTATATTAAAGACTGCGATTATAATTGAATTTTCAGTAATTGATAATTTGATATCTTATCAAGCGATAGAGTTCTTTTTTCAAAGAAGATTGTGAAAATTCTTATAGAAAATTGACGAAAAAAAAGATGATGAAATTATTTTTCCCGTATAATAATAAGAAAACCAAATGAAAATTTCACGTAGAATCGCATCAAATATGTCAAGGTGTGTTTATTACTTTTGCGCCAGATAGCATTACGATTTTAATCTCTAGATTAGTGTTAATATTTTAATACAACAAGTTCCTGCATTTTCGTATATTAATATGTAAATAATATTACAGAGAATTTGTCTCATTTCTAATTTCAAACAAAATTGCGTAAATTTATCGGTAATATAAAATAAAATACCTGAGAATTTATTAAATTTAGTAAATCAATTATTATTATGATTTTTATAGAATTTTTACCAAACTTTTAAAAAGTTAAACTTCCTTTTTTTAAAATGAACGAATAATATTATATTTCATCGAAATGTGTGAAATTGAAAAATAATTTTTCGAAAACAAACCTTGGCTTTTATAAAGTTTGCGACGTAATGGATTCTTTATCGCTCTTCAACTTCCCATAAAATTGGATTGTTTCGCACACGGCCTTTTAAAGAATCATTAGTTGATTAGCTTTTATTAGCAGCTCTTCTTTTTCCCCTTTTTTTCACATTTTTTTCTTTCTCTTTTTTTCGAAACCCCTTTGTCAATTAGGTATTATGAAACAAAATAAAGACTGGTTCAGGGTACAAAGTGCTATTATAATGATTATTGTTTGTCAGGTTTTGAGTCGTGGGATTAAGTTTCAACAATACTCAGTCAAGGATGATAATGATAATAATAATGATTTAATCGCTTTTCCTCGAAACTAGACAAAGGACATGAAATAAATATTGGTTTTGATAAATTTTTTTATCAATTAATTAATTAAAAAAATCGCTTTATATAAATTTTAATCTGCAAAGTCAAAACTTCATTTGAGGAAATCAAATTGAAAAACTATAATTGTTGTAATTAAAAATGTAATTCCGGCTATGAAAATGATCTTAACGTGAGTGAAATATTTAACAATAAATCAATCAGCAATAATTGAGTCACTCAATAATATATTGACAAGTGTCGAAGCCTGAAGCGTCAAAATGATTTCGAGTTGAAAGTGGTGAATGTAAATGCTAGTCAGACGATAAAGTCAGCCAGTAGTAAACATATCTGTGTCGTCAGACTCAAATTTTATCCTTGCAGAAAAATCTACTGTCTGGAAACAAAATGCCCAACATTCTTGTAAAAGTAAATAAACAAATATTTACTTCTTTTATTCATTTTTTTTATTTCGCAATTTTATATTTTATTTAATCCATTTATTTTCTTTCTCCCAGTTTTCTTCAGAGTATATCAAATTGATCCCAAAAAATCAATTTTTTATCTGATCCACATTTTTGGTATCAATTCGTTGCAATTTGATACTTTTAAGTTAACAATAATTTCATTTGTTTTATTTCCTCATTTCATTTATTTCTTTTATTTGAATTTCTTTTGTAAATTTTATTGACAAAAGCATTTTTTTAAAATTGGACAAACGGGAAAGAATAAAATATATTTTTTTTAAAAATGATAATTAACTCTTAACGAAATTATATATCTAAAGTATAGAATAAAAAAAAGAGAAGGCGAATTTATTAAAAAAAGGGTAATATTTGTATATAATTTTATAATATAAACCGTCTATTTAATTCTATGGCACGTTAAGCTTCAATCTCAACATTAGACGTAATTGTCTTTGGATTTTTCATATCCGTACATCTTGGAGAGAAATAAAATTTAGCTGGAAAATTTTCAATGTCCCATGAAGCATTCAAGCATGCCAAATTGCACAATCATGTTACAGAGAAATTCAAACTCTATATAATATAGATAGCTTTTAAAAAGTTCGAGTTTCCAAGGAAAGATATATAGAATTACAACACAAATTGTGACGATAACTTGAGGAAAACTCTATATCCATTGCAATTCTATCTCATTTACTGCGAATGTATATTATTTTAACAATAACATTTCCCGTGTAGAAATGGTGGTCGGGTTCTAGTGGGGACCTCATCAGTTTACCCCATTTGAAAAAGGGCTCCAACTAGAGAAACTGGTGGGGTTCTACTCGATTTTGTCACGCTCTAGTTGATAGGGCCCCGACTAGAAGTTCTAGTTCACTTCTACCGGTTTTAAAAATTATTATTTTTCAACTTAACTTATTTATAATTGAATTCTCCATTCATATTAACATTATTAATGATTGTTGCACACGAAAAATCTCGTGCCTATGAGGGTTCGAACCTTGGACCTTGGGGACACCAGACGGATACACATACCTCTCGGCCATGATAGGTTGGATGGACTTCCGCTTAAAGTACATCCCGTTTGGAAATTCCGCCATTTGTCCCTATCTCTAGTAGGGCTCTCGCTAGATTCTGACTAGAATCTCTAGTCGAGAAAAACTAGTCGGGTTCCAATCTAATTCTAGTTAGATGACTCTTACAAGCATTATTTATTAAAAAAGTTTGCATATTATTTGATTACTTAATTTTTTAATTATTTAAACAAAATCTTTTATTTATTAAGTAAATTAAAAAAGAATAAACCATAAATAAATATTAATTATGTGGATATAATTAATTTTTATTAACTAAATATTGTAATATATTATTTATTATTATTATTTATTAAAACAATTATAGTAAATATAAAAATATAAAAAGTAATGTAATAAATTAGTTATGTTTAATTTTTCAATAACGTTATAGATATAATTAATTCATAATATTTTGAATTTTAGGGAGTTATTATTCATCACTCTTATTGAACTCTGCATTCCTAATGATAGTTAATAATAATTAATTATGACATTATTGAAAAATTAAACATTACTAATTGCAGTGCTTTTTATATTTACTATAATTATTCTAATTATATTATTCAATTTATTATTGTAATTATAATATTATAGCATCTTTTTAATTATTATTAAATACTTGCATTAATTGTGAAAAACATTTTAAAGTATAATTGCACATACATATCTTTTTAAAAAAAAATTATTTTTACGAATAATATTACAATATTTAGGTAATAAAAA